CCATCTCCATCCTCATCCCCATCTCATCCCCATCCCCATCTCCATCCCCATCATCTCCATCTCCATCCCCATCTCCATCTCCATCCCACCCTCACCCCCATCTCATCCCCGTTCCCAACCCCCTTTCATCCTCATCCATTCCCCATCTCCATCCCTACGTCCTCACCATCCTTGTTCCTACCCCATACTGATCAATCCCAGTCCTGTCCCCACCCCATCCCTATTCCCAGCCCATTACCACCTCATCCCCATCCCACCACCATCTCCATCTCATCATTGTCCCCATCCCCATCCCATCACTGTCCCTGTCCAATCCCCAGCCCATCCCCACCTCATCCCCATCCCACCCCTGTCCCCACCCCATCCCCATCCCATCATTGTCCCCATCCCACCACTGTCCCCATCCCTGTCCCCCTCCCGTCCCCGTCACCCACCTGTTGAGGCCCCGCACCATGTAGGACTGGAGGTCAACGGAGCTGCGGGAGCAGAGGGCAGGTGACCACAGGGATCCACGGCGGGGAGGGACACCCCAGGTGAGACTGAGGGCCACCAGGGTGACATGGAGGGACACCACGGTGACACGGGGGGACACAATGTGGGGGACATGGGGGTTGGATGTAGGGATGCCATGAGGATCTGGAGGTACCATGGGGATGGAGATACCATGGGGATGTGGAGGTACCATGGGGATGGAGATGTCATGGGGATGGAGGTACCATGGGGATGGAGATACCATGGGGATGTGGAGGTACCATGGGGACAGAGGTACCATGGGGATGGAGATACCATGAGGATGGAGGTACCAGGGGGATAGAGGTACCATGGAGATGTGGAGGTACCACGGGGATGTGGAGGTACCACGGGGGTGGAGGTACCACAGGAGTGGAGGCACCATGGGGATGTGGATGTACCACGGGGGTGGAGGTACCATGGGGATGTGGAGGTACCATGGGGGTGGAGGTACCATGGGGATGTGGAGGTACTATGGGGATGTGGGGGGACAGAGAGGGGTTCTTGGGGTCCCCACCTGTTGAGGTCACGGACGAGGTAGGGCTGGAGGTCGGCCGAGGGCCCCCGCAGCACCAGCCCCTTGGGGGGCAGCCGCTCCCCCTGGCTCGGCTGGCGCGCCGGGGGGGGGGGGGGCCGGGGGTGGGGGTTGCGCAGGGCCACGCTGATGTCCGTCAGCAGCCGGGGCAGCGGGCCCAGCTTCAGCAGGGCCTCCTGGGGAGGAAGGGCAGCCACGTGTCCCCACCAACCCCCAGCACCCCAGTAACCTACCCCTTGGGGGGCAGGGGTGGATGGGACCCCAATGACCTCCCGTGGTGGGACACAGAGGGCTGGGATCCCAATGACCTCCCATGGTGGTCATGGGTGGATGGGACCCAACTGACCACCTATGGTGGGACACGAAGGGCTGGGACCCCAAAGACCACCCTGAAGGGGCACAGGTGGATGGGACCCCAATGACCTCCCGTGGTGGGACACGGGTGGATGGGACATCAATGACCTCCCATGGTGCGACACGACAGGCTGGGACCCCAATGACCTCCCCTTGGGGGCCAGGGGTGGGTGGGACCCCAGTGATGTTCCCTGAGGGGACACAGGTGGATGGGACCCCAGCGACCTTCCATGGTGGAACACAAGGGGCTGGGACCCCAATGACTTCCCATGGTGGGACACAGGTGGATGGACCCCAATCACCTCCCATGGGGAGAACCTAGGCATCCAGGGCTCTGCTCACCACCCAGGAGAGGACCCAGGTGTCCAGGTGACCCCCCTACCATGGGGTACCTTGCTGAGCTGGGACATGACCTCCCAGAGGAGGGCGTGCAGGGTGGAGAGCTCGCGGCCCAGGTCGATGTAGCCCTCAAAGCTGGTGCTGTTGGTGAGGGTGTCCAGGTTGGAGATCTCGTAGAGGAACTGCTGCATGCTGGTCCACTCCAGCTCCAGGAACTCGTTCATGAAGGCCATGTACTCCTCCTTGCTGCCGAACCTGCAGGCAGGTGCTCAGCGGGGTCTCCACTGGCCCAACCCAATGGTTGTCCTCTCCCTTGGCCTTGCCCACCACCCTCTGTCCCAAACCTGTGGGCAGGCGCTCAGCGGGGTCTCCACTGGCCCACCCCAATGGCTGTCCTCCCCCTTGGCCTTGCCCACCACCCTCTGTCCCCTCCAGCTTCCAGGTGTCCCTTCATAAAGCCATATCTGGCCTTCATCCAGCTCTGCTGTCCACTCATTCTCCATCCATCTATCCACCAGCTCTTCCATCCATCTTCCTCCTATCCGTCTTCCTTCCACCGATAAATCCATCCATCCATCCATCCATCCATCCATCCATCCATCCATCCATCCATCCTTCTGCCCACCAAACTCATCATCCATCCAACTCATCTGTCCATCCAACCCGTCCACACTTACACCCGTCAACTCATCCCCCCACCTTCCATCCACCTAGCCACCGTCTGTTTGTCCATCTTCCCACCATCCACCACCTCGCCCACCCATCAACTCACTCACCTTCCACTCACCATCCATCAGCTCACCCATCTTCTGTTCATCTGTCCATCTTCTACACCCATCCATTCATCCACCAATTCATCCACCCATTTTCTAGCTATCTTCTGCCTATCCATCAACTCATCCCTCCATCTTCGGCCCACCCGTACACTCATCCATCCTTCTGTCCTTCTATCTGCCACCTCCTCCCTCCATTTTCTATCTTCTGTCCATTCATCAACTCATCCATCTTCTGTCCATCATCCATCAACTCATCTGTCCATCTTCCTTCCAACTCATCCACGTCAACCCACCCATTCATCTTATCTCCATCTGTCCATCTTCCTTCCAACTCATCCACGTCAACTCATTCATCCATCCATCCATCCATCCATCCATCCATCCATCCATCCACCCATCCATCCATCTTCCACCCATGACCCATCAATCCATCCATCCACCTTCTGTCCATCTATCCATTTTCTGCCCTTCAACTCATCCACCAAATTTCTGTCCATCTACCCATCTTCTGTTCAACCATCAACTCACCGACACAACCACCCTCCATCCATCTAGGAATCCACCCAGGAATGCAAGCTCCATCCACACACAGACCGACAGATCCACCTTCTCCTCCCCATCCACCTGTGTCCTCCACCATCCCTCCATCCAACCACCATCATCCACCACCGCCGGGCGCTCACTTGGTGAAGTTGGCCAGGTTCTGGATGACCTTGGCTATGAGGGTGAGGGTGCGGGCGGTCTGCTCGTCGGGGTACTCCTGCATGAGGCCGAAGAGGCTGGGGGACATCACGGCGGGGCAGAGGAACCGCAGGAAGAGCGAGGCGCTGATCAACCGGTCGGCGATGTCCTCGCGGCCCCGCTCGGCGCATCGCAGCCGCCACGAGGCGAAGACCTCCGTCCCGGGGCAACACGGTGCGGGGGAGGGGGGACACAGTCAGGGACCCGTGGTGGGGACGCCGGGGGATGTCCCCAGCCCCGAGGACTCACCAGTGCGAGTTGACCACCTTGCAGAGGGCGAGCTCGCAGCACATGCGGAGGTTGGCCTGGTGGTCGGCCAAGGTGGAGGCCGAGCACTTCATGGGGTCGACCTCGCAGTTCTCCTCCGACTCGTACAGCGCCCGGATGAACTCGCCTGGGTGGGGACGAGGACATCAGAGGGGACCGGGGACCACCCCACTGTCCCACAGCCAGGCCAGCCCAATGGGAACATGGCCATGAGAAGGGACCACCCAACCAGCTCACGACCATGGCAACGGGGACCTGGAAGTGAACGGAGGCTGAGGACCACCCAACTGTCCCACAGGCAGACCACCTCAGCAGGGACATGGCCACGAGAAGGGACCACCCAACCATCCCCTGGCCATGCCAACAGGGATATGATCATAAGAAGGGACAGCTCAACAGTCCCATGACCACAACAATGGGGACATGGCCATGAGATGGGACCACCTAACTGTCTCATGGCCATGAGAAGGGACCACCCTACATCCCATGCCTATGCCAATGGAGGTACAGCCATGAGAATGGACCACTGAACCACCCCAGGTCATGCCAAAGGGGACATCACAGTGGGAAAGGACCACCCAACCACCCCATGGCCATGCCCGTGAGGACCTTGGCTACGAGCAGGGACTGGGGACCATCCAGTTGCACCCTAAAGGGGACATGGCCATGCGAAGGGACCACCCACCATCCCATGGCCATGGCCATGTCCATGGGGACATGACCATGTTTGGGGACCACCCACCGTCCCACAGCCATGTCAATGGGGACATGACCATGTGTGGAGACCACCCACCATCCCATGGCCATGCCAGTGGGGACATGACCATGTGGGGGACCACCCACCGCCCCACGGCCACACCAGGGGGGCCCTGGCCATGACAGGGACCCCCCAGCGCCGGTGGAGCTCACCGATGGCATCCTTGAGGTATTTCTGGCCGATGAGTTTCAGGTACTCCTCTATGGCTTTCGTGGCGAGGGTGTTTTCCCGGAAGATCAGGTGCTCCCGGTCCATGAAGCGATCCACCTCCGTCATGGCCATGTCCGACAGGAAGTCCTGCCCACGGCCGTCAGGGCAGCCCAATGCCTGCCTGCGCCCCAGCAGCCCGGCCAGGCTGGCCCAGGCCACCCTCCGTGCACCCTTGTGTCCTGTCTCCATCTTCTCTCCATCTATCCCTCCATCCATCCTTCCATCACTATATCCATCCTTCCATCCCTCCATCTATCATCCATCCATCCTCCACCCATCGCTCTTCCACCCTCTATCCATCCTCCATTCCTCCCTCCATCCTCCATGTCTGTCCTCCATCTCTCCTCTATCTCTTCTCCATCCGTCCAACCTTCCATCCAGCCTTCATCCATCCCGTGTCTGCCCATTCTCTTCCCTCCCTCCATCACCCATGTTGTTGTTCTCTATCCATCCCCTACGTGTCCTCCATCTGTCCTCCATCCATCCTCAACCCTCCATCCATCCTTCCAGCTATCCCCCATCTGTCTGTCCATCCTGCTCCATCCACCTTCCATCCTCCACCCATCCATCATTCATCCATCCATCCATCCTCCATCCATCTTGCCCTCCATTTGTCCGTCTGTCCATCCTTCTCTATCCATCCTCCTTCGCTTCATCCATATGTCTGTCCTCCATCCATCCAGTCCTCAACCCAACCCTCTCTCCAATCCTCCACCCATCCTCCATCTTCTACCTGTCTCCCATCTGTCTGTCCATCCTTCTCCATCCATCCTTCCTCCCTCTACCCAGCCTTCATCCTTCCTTCCATCCATCCTCCTGCCATCTATCCAGCCTCCTTCCATCCATCCATCCTTCCTTCCATCCATCCTCCTTCCATCCATCCTCCTGCCATCTATCCAGCCTCCTTCCATCCATCCATCCATCCTTCCATCCATCCTCCTTCCCCATCCTTCCATCCATTCATCCATCCATGGACCCATTCATCTTCCTTCCTTATCCATCTTCCATTTAGACTTCGTCCATCCACCCATCCATGCCCCATTCATTGTGCATCTGTCCATCATTCATCCATCCACCCACCCACCCATCCATCCATCCATCCATCCATCCATCCATCCTTCCATCCATCCAAGGACCCATCCATCCTTCATCCATCCTTTCTCCATCCATCGATCCATGCCCCATCCATCCATCCATCCATCCACCCACCCATCCATCCTCCACCCATCCATCCATCCATCCATGCCCCTTCCACTCATCCATTCATCCATCCATCCACCCATCCTCCACTCATCCATCCACCCATCCATCCATCCATCCA